GGTTACTGCTCTGTGGAAGGAAAATGGGTTGATTTGCTGATGCAGCTATGATGTAAACTAAAAAAGCTATCATAATCTTAATAATAATGTTTTTTAAAGTGCAACTTTTCCTACGGCTAACTGTATACCAGACTTCTTCTAAATGCTTTATACCGGCTACCTCATTTAATTCTTACAATGACCAATGAAGTTGGCATTATTATCCCCAGCTCAGTCACATGACCTGAGACCCATACAGTCACAAAGGGCCCTGCATTTACAGGAGCCCCATGCTGGTTTAAGGTTCTGTTCTTGCTGTGATAAAACCTTCAATAATGGGGCTCTACACTTTTCATTTTACTCAGTAGTTGTTGGGTGCCGTCAAGTGAATTCCAATGCATACTAATCCTATAAGACAGAGTAGAATTGCCCTATAGGATCTCCTAGGCTGTAATTAATGCACTGAACTGCAAAGTCGGCTTGAGCCACAAGGCTGGCAGTTCAAGCTTACCAGCTGCTCCTCAGAAACCTATGGGTCACTATGGGTCAGAACTGACTCGACAGCATGTAACAACAACAATAAATCTTTTATCAAAAAACTTTTTATTGTAAATTGAGTGAAGGTTTACAGCTCAGATCATCAGTTTTACATTCAACAAATCATATGCTTTGCTTCATTGCATGGTTGCAATACCCTCCAATGTACTAACAGTTAACAAACATGTACCTTTATTTACCTTTAGTGCAGTTGTTGGACCCAGGGGGGAGAAATCTCTGGTGGGCTCCTGCAATGTAAGGATCTCATGAGGTTGTTGTGGAAGGGATGTGACAGCAGAGTTCCTGGCCCTGGGTGGACTTCTTTCTTATTGGCCTCAGTGTTATCTATGTTCAGGGCACTCCATTCAGAAGTAGTTCACAGGGGCCCTCAATGGAGCTGGTTTCAGTGTCTGTTAGGACCACAAGGAAGCTGGGGACAAGGTGACTGATTAAATGTTGGTCTGGAACCAAACTCACCTGAATAGGCACCAAAGTGTCACAGGTTTTATAGGTCTGGAACCAAACTCACCTGAACAGGCACCAAAGTGTCACAGTTGGTCCCCACCTAACACTGGTGTGGCTCCCAAGCACATAACTCTGAACTCCTGGAAAGTAGTTTCTGTGCTGGGAGTGGATGAGGCTGGAAGCAGGCCACACTGCTGGTCACCAGGCAAGCACAGGGGAAAAGTAGAAATTGTACCTTTTCTTTTGCCCTTGTGAATTTGCTCTGCCAGGTCTTCCGCCCCTGCCAAAGCTGATCATAAGATAGTTGAGCTGCATCTAGCCAGCTGCCCATCAGTCAGTGTCCCTCTCTTGATAGACTATAATCTTTAAGGGAACAGATTGCCAGATCTTTTTTCCTGTGGGGTCACTAGGTTTGAACCTGTGACCTTTCGGTTAGCAGGTAAGCACTTAACCATTATACCACCAGGGTACCTTCATTTTACCATAAACCCCTGCACATTATGTAGCTGGTTCTGATTATCCCCATTTCTCAGAAGAATAAGCAGAGACACAGAGTAATTATTAAATGACCTTCCTGAGATCATAGAAGAGGCTGGAGGTAGGACCAAGACTGAGACCTGCCTAGTGAGTATCTGGCTTCAAGGTCCACACTTCTGTAGTAGAAAGCAGTGGACCCAGAGTCAGACCACTCTGTGATAAAGACCCACTGCTGAAACCTGCTCTGACCATGGATGAGCCACTTAACTTCTCCCCACCTTGGTTTCCTCATTTGTGAAATGGGTTAATTCTGTGTCTTCCACGGAGCTACCAGGAAGTGTCAGTGAGGCAATGTGCATATAAGTGTTTTCTTCATTCCATAAAGCTCAGTGGATTAAAGGATCATGATTAGCTGAATCACAGCTCACTGACACTCCTATTTATACCTCATAATATTCCAGCCGTTGTCTTCATAGGCGTGCCTGAATTGATTTAGAAACGGTGGTGCAAGTGGCTTGCATGTGACACTAATCTAAAGGTTGGTGGTTTGAGCCCACCCAGGATCACCTTATAAGAAAGATCTGTTGAACTGATCCCATGAAGATTGTCGTTATTGTTATTAAGTGCCGTCGAGTTGGATCTAACCCATAGTGACACTGTATAGGGTTTCCGAGGAGCGACTGGTAAGCTTGAACCGCCAACTTTGTGGTTCAAACTGACTTTGCAGTCCAGTGTATAAAATCCTATAGAGCAGTTTGACTCTGTGACACATGGGTTGCCATAAATTGAGCCCAACTCAATGGCAACTAACAACAATTATAGGAAACTCCTCCTACCTGGCCGAGTCATATAAAATCACAGAATTGTAGCCATTTCCACTGCAAACACTTAACAGTTCTCCAGCCACAATCTTCCCTTTCCAGTTTTAGCGTGCATCCGGGTAGAGGGAGGAAAGAACTCAACTTCCCATTCATTTTATCTGCTTGCAGAATGATTGTTGCTTATCGGTGTGTCTGAAATTGGATCCTCCACCAAAATCCTCACTGAAATCATTGTAGCCCCCTGTCGGTGGGAAGGAAGTCTGTGGGGTAAAGAGCCACCAGCCACATTCAAATCTGATTCTGGCACCACAGCCAAGAGGCTGGCGGCGCCAGGGGAGGGGCCCCAGGAAGCTACTAATAATATGTAAGTCTTTAGATTTGGAGTGATTCTAAAGAAGCTTGTGTGATTGTGAGACTGCACCAAAGAACCCATGAGAAATCCCTGCATTTGCAGAAAAGGCTATGTTTACAGACAGTATAGAAACCTCACTTCTACCAATCTCCAAGAGTCTGGGTGATTGGTATTATCACCCCCCATTTTACAGGACAGAAAACTGAGGCTTGGTGAGCTGGGTCATCTTATCCCAAGTCTAGTCTTTTTCTTTCAAGACCAGTGTTTTTCAACCCTGGTTGCATGTTAAAATCACATGAGCAGCTTTAAACATAAGCAGTTCCATCCAGAGATCAATTGAAACAGAACCTGGGAGAGTGGGCCTGGGTATCATATCAAAGTGTTTTGAAAAGTTTCTCAGGGGATTCTCATGTGTAGTTAGAGTTGAGAACAAGGCTCCTTTACTATCACTCGGAGGGGACTATTCCTCTTTACTCCTCAAGGATACCCAGAGCAAGAGGCAAGTTCTCTGGAGAAAGCAGGCCCCTCTTGCATTTCTGTGCACAGGTTGGGGAGAATCCCACAACCTCCCTGGGTGGTACAGCCTGCTTTTTGTGTTTGTCGCCCTTTCCACAGTTCTTTATCCCTCCTATACTTGTCCTACATCTACCTGGTTCCCATCACCCCAAACAAGCAATCACACCTATTAATTTCTTCTTGATCTTGGCAGAGATGTGTTTAGGCATGCAGAAGTCAATACGAATCATCTCTTCTTTCCCTTTCCTTTTTTCACACAGAGAGGTATATTCTCCAGGTGACTGAACACTGTGCTCTTTTCATTGAAACTTTATCTTGGACATCGGTTTGTATCAATGCCTTCTCTTTGACTGCTGCATTTCATCAGCCCAGAGTTTTTAAAATCACTCTGAAAGTCAAGAACTTCTACTCTTGGTCTAGGTTCAATGTCTTCTACATGAATTTAAAGCCATCTCCACTTGCTTGGTGTTCTGTGCCGTAGGAAAGATGAAAGAGAGAGGGCCTGGGCCTGGGAGATGCACAGTCTCATTCTAGCTTTATTAGGTTATGTACCTTCCTTGTGCTCTGACATTATGGAGTAGGAATTTTGGTGTATACCTTCTCGCCAGAAGTGAGGTGGCCAAATCAGATCACTGCTTGCCAGGAGTCTGCTGCTGTGTGGGCATTTTAGGAAAATTTTAGTACCATCTTTCTAGAATGGTGAGTCACAAGCCTTATTCAGTTTAACAATCTGACTTGAATGTAGTCAGCTCCTTTCTGCCAGCTGCTGAAGGTTTATTTGCTTCCTCCTCTGAAGAGGTGAGGTAAGGTGTTCTTTGAGGAAGAAATCGGAGACAGTGTGGGGTACAGTGAGCCTTTAAGAGGCAGGACTGAAGATGGGGGCTATGGTGGGTGGGGGTGGGGAGCAGCTAGAGTCATCAGTTGCAGCCCAGAGCAATGATCTTTTGCTGCACTGAGGAGCCATCTGGTCCTGGGATGGTCTCCCTGCTATCTGCCAGCTCCTCATGTAAAGTAGGAATTAAAGAAGGCCCACTATAGACTTGCAGTGAGGATTAAATAAAATAATAGAGTTGCAGTTCATTTATAAAAGGTAAAACCTGGTACAAATATCAATTCATTATGAATTTGGGTCTTCTCTGCATCAAATTGAGGCTTTCAAATTGCCCTATTTCCCCACTTCTAATCCCGAACTAGGAAATATAAACTCTAAATTCTGCCACTGTGGCTCAACCTCACTAAGCCTTGGTTTCCCCTCCTGTGGAATGAGCTGGAAAGGACCTGTGACTGAGGAGCTTCAATAGGACAAAGAGCTTGTGTGTAGCAAGGGATCAGTACTGACATCATTTTCATCCTTCTTCCAGGCCTAGGGATCCAGGCAGAGTCTCCGTGGGAGCCAGCAGCTCCTCACCACCTGTCATTCTCCATCAGGAGGAAGCCCTGGGGATTGCTTCCTGGGCCAGCCTCTGATCTGTCTACACCTCAAGGATTGATAGATCCTCTTGGCAAAGTCTCCCCCAAAAGATTCCTGCTAACACTTGTCTCTTCCTGCCCCTGTGTGAAGCATGGAACTGACAGGACTCCAGGAAGAGCAGGAAGAGTCTTAAAGCCGGAACCTGCGCGGTGGCCTCAGGAAGGGCACCACAAAGGCACTTGCTGGGGCTCAGTCTGGAGTCTTTCTGAATCTGGGAGCTGCCTAACCTCTGAAACTCACTCACATCTTAGCAATGCCCTCAGAAGCCTTGGCCTCTGCTGGATGAAGTCATTCCAGAGCAGGACCCAACCTTGCCTCCTACCAAGAGTTCCACACTGTCCCCCACCACCTCCCATGTCTGGCGGCCCTGGCAGAAGATAGAATGTCTGTGCCCCAAATCCAAATAGAAGAAGTGGGTGGGGAAGAAGGGCCAGCAGGAGCAGATCTGCCCTCGGATGACCACCTCCGGAGCCTGAAGGCTCTCACTGAGAAATTGAGATTGGAGACTCGCAGGCCCTCCTACCTAGAGTGGCAGGCCAAGTTGGAAGAACAGACATGGACTTTCCCCAGACCAGCTGCCCAGGAGGCCAGCCCGGAACAAAGGCAATGTGCAGAGGAGTCCTTACACCCCAGGCCAGATCCTCCACCTAATGGGAGAGCCAGCCAGGACCAGGGACCCCTTGCCACTGGCAAGTTGGAAGGCTTTGAAAGTATCGATGCAGCTATAAGCTGGCTTAAGAAGGAACTGGTGAGTGGCTGCCCTTCCAAGGGGTCCCTGGACTCTCTTTTTCTCTCCCATTTCCATCTCTACCCCCTCCCAATTTCAGATCTGTAGTCTTCATATTAAAGAGCTTTAGTTGTGTAGTGGTTAAGTGCTCAGCTGCTAAGCAAAAGGTCAGCAGTTTGAACCCATCAGGAGCTCTGCAAGGGAAAGATGTGGTGTCTGTTTCTATAAAGATGACATCCTTGGGAACCCCATGGGGCAGTACTGCTCTGTGCTATCAGGTTTCCAAGGCTGTGAATCTTTTTAAGAGCAGTTGGTAGGTTTGAGCTGCTGACCTTGTAGTTAGAAGTCCGTGCTTATCCCTCAGTACCACCAGTGTTTACATGACAGCCATGTGTCAATCAGTTCTGCTCCTAATTACAGATAGATACCATTAGAGGAGGCCAAGGAGCCCTGGGGGCACTGTAGGTTGGATGTTGGGCTGTTAACAAAAAGTTGGTTTTAATCCACTAGCTGTTCTATGGGACAAAGATGAGGCTTTCTGTTCCTGTAAAGATTTTCACTCTCAGAAACCCTATGTGGTTATGACTCAGAATTGATTCAATGGCAGCAGGTTAGATAAGTTACTAGAGGATGCCAGTTTTGTCCATGAGGACTCGAACCTGTGTTCAGAGGGTGTTCCCAACTTTTCTGCTTCCCACTCTTAGCACTGAAGTCTCATTTCTCTTATTCCCGGACTGCTAAAGGGGCTTCTGGTGTGGCACTGTAGGAGTAAGCACTGGATTGGTAACTACAAAGTCTGTGGTTCAAACCCACCAGCCACTCTCAGAAACCCTATACAGGGTTGCTATGAGTTGGAACTCACTCGATGGCACACAACACAGGGCTGTGAAATTTAATTGCCCCCTCCCTTCTCTTTGTAAACCTCTTACCCTGCCACCTCTCAGAGCTGCCTTCTGGGGTCCTGTGACCACTCAGCAAGTGTTCAGTGGCTGCAATCAATCCTTGCATTGTTGTTCGGATAGTGGGGCTGCATGGGGTGAGCCACCAGGGTGGGGCTCTTGGTCTGGGGGAGGGAAGTTACTGGAAGGAACTGGGGCTGGGAACGGAAGTTGTTTACAGTAATTTGTGAAGGAGAAACCTCACAGAGGAAGGTGTAATTGATTATGCCTGGGGGGGGGGGTGAAAATTTTGGTGACTTTGGTGAGGAAGAGACATTTGGGCTATGCCTCAGATGCTGAGTAAGAGTCTGCCTAGTCATGGGCTACGAAGGACACTTCAGGCAGATTGAGTGTGAGCAGATGGCATATTGCATTCGGAAGTAGCTTGACCTTTTTACTGCCTGAGGACATCCATCAGTCAGATTTCTCTTCCTAACAGTGATTCTCAGCTTGAGAAGATGGGTACATAGAACCCCCCTTACACACATACACACCCAGAGGAGAGTCACTGCACAGGGCATGATGGCTTTTCACACCACCAGGCATGGATGACACTAATCCGCCCAAGCTTTCCAGCCCCACCCCACCACCTCAGGTGCAGGCAACACCTGTGGAGTCAGGTCACTCTGGCCACAGGTAGCCCAGCAACTGGGGCCAACTGCCTCCCACAACTGATAGTAACTCTTATGTCAATAGAACAGTCAGATGCCTGCTTGATTTGCTTTACAGCCTCTTGAAAAATAAAGCCCCACTGGGGCCTGAGTTCCTCATGAGGTTCCTTCTATAAGAAGGAAATCACTGAGTTCCTAAGGCAGGAACCTCAGGGACTCAGGTGTCTGTTTAATTAGGAAGCTGTTTGGTTGAGAATGCTTCTCAAACACACATGCCATTATGTCCAACTTACGAAACTAGAGTGCGTGCGAGCCTCTGGCTTTCACAGCTGGCAGGCTGGCTGTGTGCCATGGAGTCAGTTCCAACTCATAGCAACCCTGTGCAGGGTTTCCGAGGCTGTAAATCTTTACGGAAGCAGAACACATCATCTTTCTCCCAAGCAACAGCTGGTAGTTTCGTACTGGGCTTTCACAGCAGATTGTATATATAATTCCTCGTGTGTCTCTGAGAGCTTTGCCCCAACTAGGAGCTCATGGGGACATGCAATAGTCCCAGGACAGACACTAAAGCTTCTCTTTCAAAGCCTGATGCTAAACTACTCTGATTTGTTTTCATACAAGTATTTGTTGTTGTTGTTGTTAGGTGTCATGGAGTCGTTTCTGACTCATAGCGACCCTGTGTATATCTGCATATCACAGGTTGTGAATGAACCTTCCTCCAGTCGTGATTTGGCGTTCTTCATAAAGTGGTGGTGGTAGTGGTGGTGTGCCGTTGAGTTGGTTCTGGCTTGTAGCGACCCTATGGAGGGTTTCCAAGGCTGTAAATCTTTACGGAGTGGAACGCCTCATCTTTCTCCCACAGAGAGCTTGGTGAATTCAAACTGCTGACCTTGTGATTTGAAACCCAATGAGTAACCTACTAGCCAACAGAGCTCCTTTCTTCATAAAGTGGAGGGGTGAAAAATATTTCCATTAATCAAAGATTGAATGCTTTGGATTCAGGCTAACTTGTGGTTTTATTGCTTCTGGGAGCAATAGCTTTTCCTTTCTAAATAAAGTAGAATTCTGGGTGGGCCCACCTTTGGAATGGGGATTAGAAGAGGAATTCCTTTCTGTGGTGTTCTCTGGAACTTGTCTTCATTACCCTCTGAGCCAACCAACAAACCAGTTGCCATCAAGTTGACCCCAATTCATGGTGACCCCATGTTGTCAGAGTAAAACTGCTCCATAGAGCTTTCACTGGTTGAATTTTCAGAAGTAGGTAACCAGGATTTTCTTCTGAGGTGCCTTTGGGTGAACTTGAACCATCAACCGTGTGGTTATAGCCAAGCATGTTAGCTATTTGTACCATATAGGGACTCCATAGTTAGAATGGTGCCTTTCAATCCTGGCTTTACATTAGAATCCCTGGGGAGCTTTGAAAAATCCCAAAGCCCAAACTATACCCCAGACCAATCAAATGAATCTCTTAGTGGTGGGACTGAGGCATCCATGGTTTTTAAACCTTCCCAGTGAATTCAGATGTGCTGCAAGGTTTGAGAACCACCGCTTTACATCTTCATTCAGGTGGTATTCATTTACTTGTCTTGCCAATACATGCAGCATGAGGTGGCCCAGAGTATGCGGAAAGGAGAAGGGTGTGCTTGGTTAAAAATCAACCATGGATAATGTATAGAATAATATATATAGTCTATAGGAGTCCTAAGGAGCTCTGGAGTCTTGGTGTGGCACTGTGAGTTAATGCGCCAGATGGCAAAGCCATTTGAACTGCAAGGTTGGCGGTTCAAACTCACCAGCTGCTCCTCGGAAACCCTATACAGGGTCGCTATGGGTCAGAATCGACTCGACAGCACCTAACAACAACAAGGAGCTCTGGTAGTGTAGTGGATTACGAGCTGAGCTGCTAACCGCAAGATTTGATGTTTGAATCTACCAGTTGCTTCATGGGAAAAAGATGAGGCTTTCTACTCCTATAAAGATTTAGTCTAGAGAATCTGTACAGAACTGCTGTGAGTTGGAACTGACTCAGTGGCACACGACCACCATCACCACCATAGGGGTCCTGGTGTGGCACTATAGGATAAGCACTGGACTGCTCACTACAGGGTCAGTGGCTCAAACCTCCCAACTGCTCCTGAAAACTCTATAAGGGTGGCTATGATTTGGAACCGACTGAACAGCACTTAAAAATAATAATAGGCAGTGAATGGAGCATTAATTGTCAGCACTCATTTGGCTGTGAAAGATGTATCTTAAGCAGGTTCAGGGAATATTAGCATTCTTTATAATGATTTGTATTTACTTAGCATTTTCCCCACTCCTTGACACTTCTTTGATGATGAGAGACTGGCTACTATGAATGAATAATCATAGTAATAATAGTAACAACAGTAAAATGTCTTACTAACTGAATGCTTACTGCATGCCAGGTCCTTCATATGCATTAACTACTTCTTCTAATTGTCACATCGTTTTCCTGTGACCCCAGTTTTACAGAAGAGGAAACTGAGGCTCAGAGAGGAACACAGCAATAAATGAGGAAATAGAAATGAGATCATCTAATTATGTATCTCAGGCTCTTCTTAGCCACTACGTTGTATCTTCCAAAAGCTTTTCCATTTTGTGATTTCAATTCTAAAATGTAAATTCACAAAGATGTCAGCACTCAACAGAATGTGCAGAAATAGAGGTGGGGACAAAGGAAGAAATAACTAAAAGTCCCAACCCTCATTTCATCCTCTTTTTGATTCTTATAACACTGTGAACCTGTTGTTATTGTCCCCATGGCACAGATGAGTAAACTAAGACTTAGAGAACCTCAGGTGACTTACCTGTGATTATATGACTAGTAAGTGGCAAAGTCGGAGCTCAGTCTTCACCACTGAGAGCAGAGAGATGTGGGGAGAGGTAGGAGATGGCGCTGGAGAGAACAATGACAGGGTCCTGTTTATGCTTCAGAAAGAACTCTGGCAGAATGGTTGTGGTTATTAAGTGCCATGAGCCAGTTCCAACTCATCATGATCCTATATAGGGTTTCCAAGAGTGGCTGGTAAGTTTGAACCACTAACCTGTGGTTAGTAGTCCAGTGCTTATCCTATAGTCATTCTAGGGATCAGGGTAGAGAATATATTAGAATGTACTTCTCAAACTCAAATGTGTGTATGAATCTGCCCTCAAGGCTCTTGTTAAAGTGAAGATTCAGAACCAGGCCTTTGAACAAGTTCATTGAGCTCCCTGCTGAGAATCTGCATTTCTATCCCAGATATATTATAATCAGAATTTACATATTAACAAGTTCCCAGAGTGTTTCTTATAGATCTTGGTAAAATGTAGATCTTGTTAAATGTATGTTCTGATTCAATATGTCTAAGGGGTACAAATATACATTTTCCACAGGGGGTTGAACTAGTTAAAAGCCATGCTCAGAACTGGTAAGTCTGGGTTGAGGGGAGTTTCAGAATTTCCTGTATGG